GACCTCTCTGCTATTACTATCCTCAAATCATCTCTTGATAACATGTTTAAAATCAAGGATTTGGGCACCATGAAGTACTTTCTTAGTCTTGAAATTGCTCGGTCACCTCTTGGCATTTTTATCAATCAGAGAAAGTATACCCTGGATATCCTTGCCGACTCTGGCAATTTGGGTTCACGACCAGCCACCTTTCCTATGGATCAAAATTTGAAGCTTACCCATGATGATGGCACTCTTCTATCTGATCCCAGTACTTATCGGCTCGTTACTCATCTCTTGAGTTTGTGGCTCCTGGGTCGAGCAGAGCTTTGGCTCACGATCTCGTCAAACCATGAGTAGTCATTCTTTGACGAGCCGAGGGGCTCGACTCACCTAGCGAGCTGCCCGCTCAGCTCGGGCTCCTCTATGGCTCATGAGCTATATTTTGACGAGCTGACGAGCCGCTAGACCCGTTTGGCACCTCTAGATGGGTATGGTAAATTAGAGGGTCCATTTGGTTTTATTTCCGTTTTCAATTTTTAGCTGTTTTTAATTTTCTGCTTTAAGATTGCTTAGAACATGTTGGACTTGTCATCTTGAAGATTTATTTTTCAAAACAGAAAACTAAAAAATACGTTTAGTTTGAAGTTTTGAAAAATTATTTTAAACGTTTTATTCTATGAAATTTGTTTTTTCAGTAAAAATATAAAAAATTTATGTTAATATATACATTTTAAAGTTTGTGAACCCTATAATATTTTTTTTGCTTCAAAAGTAAAATAAATAATAAATAATAAATTGAATTCAAAATATAGGAAATAAAAATAAAAATTATTGATGTGAGCTAAGAATATTTTATTTGTGTTAATTTAAATATATTTTTTTAGAATTTTAATGTATAATTATTAAAAGCTTAAACTATTTTCATTTTTTATTTTTTCATAATTTTGTTTTCCCATAATTTTTTATAATTTTTTTTTTTTTAAGATTTTTACAATTTTTTTTAGAAATTATCAATTTTATTTTGTGAATTTATTTTTAAAATTTTTATTTGTTAGATTTTTTTATTATAGTTTTTAAAATTGTGATTTAAAATTTCCATTTAAATAAAATTTTATCTAAACGCTTGTTTTACATGTTGAATGACAAAATGCTTTTTGAGTTTTATGTTATAAATTTGTCCTTATTCTCAAAAATATATTTTCAGAAATAACAAACAAAACAAGTTTTCAGTGTTTTGCAAAATTAAAAACTAAAACAGCAAATCAAACGCACCCTTAAGGTTTGAGATTTGGGTGGATATGGTTGTTATAACCTGATTTTTGAACAAATAAATAGTTATAACCTAATTTTTGAAGTTGAAAATTGAAATTTATTGTGGGTGTAATTTCCACAATAATTTATCAGGTCAAACATACAGAATAATAAGTCCAAACCAAATTATTTTTTCCATCACAAACTTCATTCTTTAGTCATTCAATTCTTATTTTTTGAATGAAGTAACTAGGAATAAATGCATATATTTCTATCAAAATTTAGCCTTACTGCTATCAAAACCTTTAGTGTAGCAACATTCGAATCTAGAGCAGAGAACATGGAGATTCGATAAAAGAAGGGTTTGAAAATTGTCAAATTAAAAGTGATATGG